TGCCATTTTTGTGTTTCAGGATCTATAGGGGAGCGCTGTGGATCTTGGGAGAATATTGCAGCACCAAGGAAGATATCCAGAATGTGATGACAGAAGTACGCAGGTCCTTGGGAGAGGTACGCCTGTCTATTTTAGAATTTAATGTGATACATGTTTATCAGTTAGTAACAAATATCTGACATTTGCATCCTTCTTGGACAGATCCCGATTGTAGAAAATGAGATAAAGAAAGAAACAGGAGAGGTGAAGCCAGAGGATGAAGTCAGTGTAGCTCCAGCCCAGAAGCTGGTGACAGAGATGGGCACCTATGTGACACAGAGTGCCCTCAGCTCCTCCAGGCCTTCAAAGAAAGAGGAGGACAGGTAAGTGCTGCACAGTGTGGTGCAATTAGCTCATAAGTTCATGTCTTATATGGAGTTAGGTCATCTTACCATCCAGTTCACTGGAGCACTGATTTTGTTGTTCCAGACCTCCGCTCAGAGGCTTCTTGATGGATGGAGACTTCTATGTGGCAGCCTCCCTTGCCACCACACTAACCAAAGTGGCCTTGCGCTATGTTGACATTGTTCAAGACAAAAAGAAACAAAATGTAAGTTGTCCTGTCTTCACTTCATTTCACAGAAAGGCAAACACCTTTTTACAAATCATTTAACCAAATGCCACTTCCTCTAATCCCTTCTCTCTGTTCTTGTTAGTCATTCGTTGCAGAGGCTATGCTGATAATGGTCACTGTCCTGCACCTGGGCAAGTCTTCTCTGCCCAAGAAGCCAATTACAGACGATGATGTGGACCGTATCTCGCTGTGCCTGAAGGTCCTGTCAGAGTGCTCGCCACTCATGAATGACATTTTCAACAAAGAGTGCCGCAGATCTTTGTCACATATGCTGACTGTCAGACTGGAGGAAGAGAAACTGTCACAGAAGGTAATTACAGCTGTTCCAGAGAGATGAATAGGTAACCTCCTGACAGTCGGCCATAGCTGAAGCATCATCACCAGTACAGGAAGTAAACAAATCTTTGCTGAAAATTGAATATTTTGGGAGACTGTGCTTTTATTGCACATGTGCATTTAGAACACAATATGAGTTTATAAGTCAACAAAATTTTGTTTTCATCCATTCATGATACATGTGTGCTAACTATAGGCTGCATTATCTCCCCAGAAATAACCATATGTGTTTATTTTTTCTGACCACAGAAAGAGTCTGAGAAACGTAATGTAACAGTGCAGGCAGACGACCCCATCACCTTCATGCAGCTGACAGCCAAAAATGAGATGAATTCTAAGGAGGATCAGTTCGAGCTCAGTCTGCTGGCTGCTATGGGCAGCGCTCAGAGGAAGGAGGCTGCTGATCCCCTGGCTTCAAAACTCAACAAGGTACACCACAAGCCTGACAGAAATCTTACCATCAAGAGAACTGGAAATTACACTGAGAAACTCTAATATGGGGCTGTGTGGCATTTGCTCCAGAGGATCATGCTATTTTCGATTGCACAGTTGGAAAGAACACTGTTTTTCTTGTTTACTGTTTATTGTACATTCTATAGTCTGCAATTTAGTTGCAGAAATTGACTCAATATTTCATTTTTTTTATTTGGCTGTGGGTACTATTGCTTTTGGTACAATGACTCTCAGCAATGAAAAGCTTTTTCATCCCACTGCTGCCTAAGTTTTTGTCATGCTGTAAAATCCCTGTTAGAATGTGAGACCTTTTATTTGCCTACATTGAGGAAATAATTGCACTTAGGTGTATTAATTATTTTCTAATTAAATGCAGTGTATTTTTGTCCAACCTAGGTGACGCAGCTGACAGGCTTCTCAGACCCAGTGTATGCTGAAGCCTATGTTCACGTCAACCAGTATGACATTGTGCTGGATGTGTTAGTGGTCAACCAAACCAGTGATACTCTCCAGAACTGCACCCTAGAACTGGCCACTTTAGGTGCGTCTAGTTAATTTTCTGCCTCCCTGGATAAATGTACAGGTTCATGCTAGTCACGGTTGCAGCATTGTATTATGTACACATTTCACTAAACAGGATTCTATCATTCCTACAGGAGATCTCAAGTTGGTTGAGAAGCCTTCACCTCTAACTCTGGCCCCTCATGATTTTGCTAATATTAAAGCCAATGTCAAGGTGGCTTCTACTGAGAATGGCATTATATTTGGCAACATTGGTAAGAGACAGCTTTATAATTCAGCTCATGTTGTGTTTGCTTTGATTTGTGTCACCAGAGCATGTCTTCTCATTTGCGGCGATGTTTGATTCTTTCTTCCCAGTCTATGATGTGTCAGGAGCTGCTAGCGATAGAAACTGCGTCGTCCTCAGTGACATCCACATTGACATCATGGACTACATCCAGCCAGCCTCCTGCACCGATGCTGAATTCAGACAGATGTGGGCAGAGTTTGAGTGGGAAAACAAGGTAAGCTTTGTGTTTCTGCTTTAAAAATACACCTTTGTTAAGCATCAAAAGTCAGGCATGTTTCTAAGGTTGGTTGTTCTGTCTTAACTATTTTTTAAGGGACCGTGTTGATTTACACAAATTAACAATATTAGGAAGATTAAAAAAAAAAACAAACATGACCACTGAAGATGGTGCTTAAGGAGTTTTTTTCTCTGATAGGTGACAGTCAACACCAACATCACTGATCTGAACGAGTACCTCCAGCATATCCTCAAGTCCACCAACATGAAGTGTCTGACTCCTGAAAAGGTTGGTATGAGATGTTTCATACAGCAGAACAAAGGAAACGGGTTTGAAAGCTGGCAGGATGTAAATACAAATGAAATGGGCAGTTAAAACTGTTGGTGCCTGTACATGTTGGCAGATGGCCTTTATAGTGGTCCTCTTATAACAGTCATTGCCAGGTCCTTCATATTAAATGAAGTCTATCAAAACTTCTCTTTTTTTCTTTTATGTCTCATCCCCCAGGCGCTGTCCGGCTTCTGCGGCTTCATGGCTGCCAACCTTTATGCTCGTTCTATCTTTGGAGAAGATGCACTGGCTAACGTCAGCATTGAGAAACCCATCCACCTGGGGCCTGAGGCATCTGTCAATGGACATATACGCATCAGAGCCAAAAGTCAGGTGGGTCAGAGCTGCTGTACCACAAACCTTTGCACATATGGGAAGCAAAGGTTTGGTGAACTTTTATTTTCCCTCTACTCAGGCAATGTGAACAATTCATTTGGGAACATTTAAATTAATATATGAAATAGCCTATTACATGTGACTTTATACTAATGCTTATTGCTCTTAGCAGTATGTATCGTTTGTTAATATAGTCTGTTACAATGAATTCTCCCCTTTTCCCTCCTCAGGGGATGGCATTGAGTCTTGGTGACAAAATCAACCTCTCCCAAAAGAAGACAAATGTCTGAGTTCTGATTCGGCTGATCTCTCAGACCTGCTCTTCACTTGTATTGTTCATTTACAGCCTTTTCATCACAGCAGATTAAGAACTCTATGTGGTCAGCTGCTTCTGTGCTGTTTTTTTTTATATCTATCTAAAAAAATGTATCTAAGTAATGTTTAATGTTTAATTTTCAAAAAGGTATTAAAAGAATGAGAAAACTTTGCTTCATTCTGTATTCTTTAAGTCTTAGCCCATACTGTAATTTAGGACATTTTACACTACGTTTCATTAGTTCCCATGATTTCATGTTTGAAATAAAAATGTGGACAAATGTTGTTTTGTCAGCTTCCCATGTCTAAATTGTGAAGTTAAGATTAAAATTAACTATGAGAAAGAGTTCTGAGAAGTTGTACTGAACATGTGGCATGATTGTCTATGTTTAGTAAATGATTCCATAAAGACTTGTTACTGTCACCCATAGCTGGTTGCATCCCAAAGTGAAGTGACTCCTGCCTTGAGGTCCTGCTGTGTCCAGCTTCATAGCTCTAGGCTCTAATTAGAATTCCTCAGATGCCTTTAAATGACCTTTCCTGGGCAAAGATATGGTTTCTTTTAACCCAGGATAATACATTACACCAATTTCAAAGCTACTTTCAGAACCATCTGCAAGTTTTACCGTCTGTGTGATAATGAGATGGAGATGTATTAGCATTAGAACAGATCTACATATTTCACTTGCCCTCCTGTGGTGGGAAAAGGGACATTTCTGAGTATATGCCACATTAAAGGGTCACAACTGGCCACACATTTACAATATCTGTGAAAACGGTCTCTCTAAGGGGTTAGATAACCTCTAGAGTCCCTGCGTCCTCATATGAGGACCGCACAGCTTGGGTTTCCAAAGCTCAGGACTCTAGAGGATAAAGGTTAAAAGGTGGGTTTGGGGTTAGAACTTTATTTGGCAACACTGTCAGAGCCAAGCTACTATGTGCAGTGTACAGCCTCTTAGATTTACAGTAGCTATTACGTTCAGGTTTGTAAACCCTGAAAGCTAACATTTGAGCTTTTTCATCCTGTGTTTCTGCAATGATTTTTCTAATTGGCAAACTGTTGAGTAGTTAGAAAGTAATCAACAAAGGTTAACATGCTTGTCCTCAATACTTTAAACCCACATAGGTGAGACTGAAGCTTTAGCAACAATATCGGTACTGTAGATCCATGTGTGTGAACCATTTTTATTTACTCTGAGCTGCAGATCCAGTTTCTCTCTTGTGACACTGGGTGGCGCCACAGGTTCTCCAGCAGTGATGTAGCTGAGAGTGACAAATGTGAGTTCACAGAGTATATTATTAGAATATATTTTGAGCAAGTAAAGTCAGCATCTTTCACTGAGTAGTTTTCCAAAGCACAAATCTTTATAATGGAAAGTTTATGTAAAGAAACAAAACCAAAATGCAGTTTAGGTTTGCATTATAATTATTGTGCGTGATACATTTGATAGTGTGCTCTTTACATGTGCAGGCTGTGACAGGAGTTTGGCTGCAGGGATGTGTGATATCTCAGGACAGGGCAGGGGGAAGGTGGACTAGTGCTGTGCGCGGCTCTGTGTACGCGCGCGCGTGCGCTTGAGTAGGAGGGTGTTGAAGCAGTCACACAGCTTGTAAGGGCCCCTAGCGCCAGACATTAGTACTGACCTGGTTGATTACTATACTATCGGAGCCACATCTTGAACATCGCAGTGCTATCGAGGCTGAAACACGGTCAGGCCTATGGACAGCTGCCCGTAGCTCCGGGAGCCCTGTCTACTTATCCGTGCACAATACGGACAAGACCGACGAGTCATTTTGGCACCTTTTTGCGCTCCGGCGTCTCCACTGCAGGGTCTCTTCAGTTCACAGGAAAAAAGTGCGTGTTTGCTGCTCACTCGTGTTTCGGCAGCGGCAGCGGCGGCGGCGAGCGCAGCGAAGTGTCCTCGATGGCTGGCTGGAAGGACGGCTCGGTGCAGGAGAAGTATCGGCTTTTTTTGGGCGGGGGGGGGGGGGGGGGGGGGGAGCCAATCCCCGCTGACATTGGGCAACAGGCAGGGTCCACCCTGGACAGGTCACCAGTCTATCACAGGGCTGACACTTAAGAGACAGACCGAGACAAAACAGCAGAGAGCAAATGGCAGTGAACCTTATGAAGCTTGTTTTAACACATTGTAATGGAACTTGTATCAATTAACTTTCTGTCTACTGTGAAGTAGAAGAGCTCAAGCATGTCTGAAGCTTGTTAATGCTGCTGCTGCCGTAGAGTTAGCAATCTGTCTGCATGTTCGAATTCCATACAGTTTACATCACACTGTCCCCACATAG